CTGCCGCTGTCCGGCAACGCCGTGCTCTGCTGGAAGTTCTGCCACGTCTTCCACAAACTCCTGCGGGACGGCCACTCGAACGTGAGTGCCGTGAGCTCGGCTCAGCAGCTGCCCCGGGGACAACTCCTTTCCCCTGCAGAGCAGTGGGAGATGCTGGTGGGTCAGTACCCTCCTGGGGGGTCAGTCCTGGGTGGGGACCAGCTCAGGGACTCCTCCCTGCTCATTTTGCTGGAGCCTTCCCAGCGCTGCTCTGCCTGCAAACCCCAGTGCCAACCACAGTGCTGGTGCCAGAGGGAACCGCTCAGTGTGGGGCATCAGCGCAGGAGCCATCAGCAAGGATCCTTCTGTCCTGTGTGCGAATGGGGAAACTGAGGCACCCTGGTGTCACTGCTGGGAGGCTGCAGGGTTGGGAACACATCAAGAGCTCCCATTCCTTCCCTCAGTGGCTGGCTCCTTGCCTTGGCACTCTGCCTGCTTAATTTCCTCGTCGTTCCCCTAGGTCCTGAAAGACTCCTTGAGATACAAGAATGAGCTGAGCGACATGAGCAGGATGTGGGTAAGTGGCCGATCCCACCAGCTGCCGTGATGGGGACAACCCTGGGGGTCCCTCGGCACCACCCAGTGCCCAAGCCAAGCTGGGGAGGTGGTGTTGGCTTGGATGGTGATTTCACCCAGGAGAAGTCAGACTCCAAGGGCTACCATGACCTCCCTAGGCTCGGTTGCTGGTTGTGTTTTCTATCCCTTTCCACCAAAATCAAAGGCTTGCTTTCTATTTTATGGCAAAGTCCAGTAAAACTCAGTTCTGGCAGTCAAGCACAGCTTTGAAGTCTGCAGAGAAAGTGATGAGAAGGTCCTGACCAAATCATTCTGGCACGTTTGCTGCAAGCCAGCCTGCAGCTTGTGTGTCAGCAGGGAGGGTTTTGGCTGGATTTTGGGGAGAGATGAGAGGTCGCCCATGCTGCAAGGCATGAGAAGGCTTTTCCACAGCCTGCCCCAGGTCTCAACGGCTTTATGGTGTCCCCAGGGCCACCTGAGTGAGGGCTATGGACAGCTGTGCAGCATCTACCTCAAACTGCTGAGAACCAAGATGGAGTTTCACACCAAGGTGAGCATCATCCCATCCTCGTCCCCGTGGCCACAGCAAGGGGTGAGTGGTGGGGCACTGGGGTGAAAGCAGTGGCAATGTTACGGTGCAGGACAGGTTGGCAGAGCCATCCCGGTCCTGTCACCCCTGAGGGTCTTCTCCTCTGGATAAAAAGTTCCTCTATGGACCAGCACTTCAGGGATGGACAGTTTGTGGTGGATCAGGGCAGCTTGGAGGCACCTGGGTTGGGCTGGGAATGAGGAGGCTACAAGAAGCAGGTATCCTAGATGGGCAGAGGTGGAAGAGGCCATGGGGTTCAGGGGTGGGGAGGGCTGTGCCGTGCCATGCCGCACCACAGGAGCAGCTCCTGCGCATCCCCTCGTGCTCCCAGAGCTGTGGTCAGAGCAGGAGATCCTCCAAAACCCTTTCCTGACTCCTGTTTCCCCATGCAGAATCCCCGCTTCCCCGGCAATCTCCAGATGTCTGACCGGCAGCTTGACGAGGCGGGGGAGAACGACGTCAACAATTTGTGAGCACAGGGCAGGGACGGGAGGCGAGGAGCGGGAACAGATACAGGCAGTGTTGGCACAGTGCTGCCCAACCTCACTGGTGGCATGACTGAGCTGGGGACAGGTCCTTGCACCTTCCCCTCACCCCTGCCACAGGTGCTGGGGGTGGGCAGAGCTCCCAGGCTAGGCTTGTGCCTCCTCACTAGACCACCCCGTCATCCCTCTGGGGTGGCACCTGGCATAAGTCAAGGCCCTTGGATGGCAGCAGGGATTCTCCTTAACCATCTTCATCCCTTTTTCTTAGTTTTCAGCTGACGGTGGAGATGTTTGACTATCTGGAGTGTGAGCTAAACCTCTTCCAGACTGGTAAGCCCCCATGCTGCCCTGCCAGAGGTTGAGGTGTAGGGGGTCCGCAGGGGCTGAGCTGCGTTGCAGGGGGGACCCAGGAAGGATGCTGAGGGCACCCCATCTCATCTCTTTTCTGGGCACTTCACCCAAATTATTACTAGCTGAGGTCCCTGCATGCCGTGCTGCATCGTGGCAGCCCTCCAGCAGGGCCGTGGGGCTGGCCACATCACCCAAAAAAATGTGCTCCCCCCCCCAGCCATTGGTTTCTGCCACTCCGGCAGCCTCCCTGGGCTGAATTTCTTCTCATCTTACTCGTGGACTTGCAACAGGTTTTGGCTTTTATTAGCGGCAAATGCAAGCTGCCATGGGTGTTGGCGGCAGTGCTGGAACTGGGGGGAGGCATGGGGGCACCTGTCTTTGTCCTGCCCTCCTGTGCCAGGAAGCAGAGGGGTAAAAAAAAGCCAGTCTTAACCCTCAGGACTATCCTGCACCTCTGCATCCTCGGGCAGGATCAGCTTTGGGGTAAATTAAAGCAATTCTGAGACAAGCCTTCATCTGCTGCCTGCACCAGGCTGTGAGTGCTGGCTGGTTTTTGGAGCAACCAGCGTGCACAGCGCACCCGAATGCTGGCAGGATGGCAGTGATGGGAAGAGCAGAGGGGCTACGTGTCCTTGGGGGCCAGGACCCAGCTGGGACTCGGAACCAGGCGCCTGCAGCCGACAGAGCCAGGCTGAAGTGTTCCCAGGCCAGCATGGGGTGGCACCCGGTGACCCCATGCTCCTTCCCCGCAGTGTTCAGTTCCCTGGATATGTCGCGCTCAGTGTCGGTGACGGCCGCGGGGCAGTGCCGTCTGGCCCCGCTCATCCAGGTGATCCTGGACTGCAGCCACCTTTACGACTACACCGTCAAGCTGCTCTTCAAGCTCCACTCCTGTGAGTGTTCCCAGCGCCACCTCCTCGGACTGATGGGGGATCACGGAGGAGGTCACTGAGGGTCACACTCTCCTCAGACTGGGCTGTTTGCTCCCTTGTTTCCTTCCCAGCCCTTTTTGGGGGCATTGAAGGGAGTCACCAGGGCAAGGGACAAGGAGGTGCAAGCCGTGAGGGACCGAGCTGTCCCGGGAGCCTGCCCTCGGCCAGAGGGATGGTGCCCACCAGGAGCT